CCAGTTCTGCCACTGTATCACAACTTGTTTCAAACATCCAAACTCATATATGTTTTCATAAGCTTGCTTGATTTTCGTACATATTTCCTTCATAAACTATTTTAACTCATAAGCCACAAAATAACAAAAACATGCTTTCAACTTTAATTCATTTGTCACAACTTTTACCGAATAAACTCATGGATTCTCATATACTTGTATTTTCTTTTCTATTTTCATATTTCCTTTTTATTTTCCTAGATAAATTGTATAGGGTGCTTCTGCGAATGTAAATAGCTTAGGTTTATTTTTCTCGCGTTTATCTTATTATGTATCTGCTTCCGGGATGTAATAGTTGTAGTTTAACTTTCCCGCACTTTTTATCATTATGTAACTACCCCAAAGCCTTGTAATAGTCTTAGGTTTATATTTCTCTCTTTACATTATGCTTTTATTCTTTTATGCTACTGTTAGTAATTAGGGTTTGTATGGAAAGATTAAAATCAACTGATAGCAAAACCCTAATTTCAAGATAAACATAACTAAACCAATCACTTTGCACAGGCGCACCTTTAGGATAACCTCACTTGTTGCCTCCGATTTTAAATAGTCATGTCCCTCGAATGTGGGATGCTTTAGCAAAGACCATCGGTTAAAAGATCGTCGTCCCTCGATGACCCTTTGATGTTGCTTTCGGTAAACGATCTTAGTCCCTTACGACAAATGCTAAAGCGTCCTACAAGTTGCCTTCTATGATTGTACGATGACTCACGCATGTACCTCACATCTAACGATAGTGTTTCCTACTAACTAATAGTAAGGTAGCACTATCTAAAGAAGGAGGAAAAGAACAAAGACTTTTTGAGTAGGTAGAGCGCTCGTAGCTGCTTGCTCACAAACTTTTCAATACAAAACATCTTTCCACCAAAACAACACTTTCTTTCACAAGTATTTTCAAAACAAACATTGTGTACACATTTTCAAACTATTTTTCAATCACACACAAGCACAGAGCATTTCAAAAGTGAGCTAGCGATTAAGAGTCCGTAGAAAACTACGGATGAAAAGGGTGCTAACATCTTCCCTTTTCTTAACCTACCCCCCTTACTCATAAAATTCTCAAAAGGTCTTTCCTGTTATTTTCACCCTTTCCTTTATTGAATAAAAGAAAAGTTGGTGGAGACTCTTGTTATCCGCAATATTTGCAATAAAATGCAAAATCCAAAAGTCAATTCTCCCACCGTATTACAGAGGGCATTATGGTAATTCCACCTTCAAAGGGAGAATAACTTAAGGGTTGTTTGGTTAAGTTCTAATTCTCATTCATTGTGAAAATTAGTTTTTAAGGGATAAGAAGAGTAGAGATAACTTGAAATTGAAGAAAGAAAGAGGAATTTCTCAAACCAACCTTCTTCCCCAACCAACATGGATTCATGTTGGAGTTTTATGAAACCTTGAGGTAGGAGTAACAAGATAGCTTTGATTCATCATCCTCATATCCATTCACATCATGCAAATAATAATGTCTTCCCCATTCAAGGTGAGTTTCATAGTTAGAACTTGGGTAAGAAATTGGTAACAATTACATGTTTGGGTTTAGATTGAAAATAATGTGTTGCATGCTTGATCAATGATGAGAAATGAATTCTTATGATGATAATATATGACTTGAATTGTGGATACATGTTGGGTTCAGATTGGGATGGATTGGGATGTAAAAATGGGTGTTAGAACCCTAAAATTCATATTTTGTACTGTCAGGTTCACTTAGCAAACTCTAGTTTCGCTTAGCAAAAGTCTGCAGACTGAGGAAAATTTATGTTTCACTAAAATGACCATATCTTGAGTTTTACAACTTGAAAATGAGCACAGTCAGAAGCGTTGGAAAGGTCTTTTAATGCTCTATAGAAATATGCTTAGATGTCACGCTTTAAGTTCAGTTAAGGAATATGAAAAATGGATGTTTATTTGCATGATGTTGAGTAAGCATAAATTGACTTAAGAAATGTTTATAGGTATGCAACTCCTTGTGTTAATCTCATTCCATGTTGTCAACCTTGGTTATATATGGTATATGGCCTATTGAACTGATTCATGGTTACAATGGTTGTGTGTATTAAGTTCTGAAGCATTTTTATGGTTTTTTTAGTTTCACGTTTCGCTTAGCGAGCTCATGTTCGCTTAGCGAGCTCATGTTCGCTTAGCGAGCTCATGTTCGCTTAGCGAACATGATTGATTTGAGAAGTAAATCCTTGGACATTTTCCTTAAGCACACTAGGCCTCGTGTAGCAAACCTCCCAGTCCACAACTTGGGAAAAACTTATGTCTGCGTTTGCTGGGACTTTGCTCAGTGAAGTACCTTTTGTTACAAGTTCGCTTAGCGTACTTCTTTGAGGATAAATTCATGTTTGATTTCCTCGAGTGCAGTTCTGATCAGTAATGTGAATCAGACGCCTTCTTTGTTTATTATGACTAGTACTATGGATCCTGTAATGCCATGATATGTTCACTTTCATGCTACTCTTGTATGTATCCTTAAATAAATGCATTATGTTGATAAATGTTATGATGTGATCATTGCTTGATTATTTCCATTTGTTTCAGTTGAACATTTGGATATGGTTGTGACATTTGCTTGAATCGAAGTAGGCCTAAGCTACTAGATGGTAAATCACATATGACTATGGATCGGGTCTAAACTATTTTACCGTTGTGATGTGCTTGTGAGGGTCTTAAAGGGTGTTTCCCCCTTGACGATAACACATCCACGTTCTCGGTACTTCATATACACTTGAGCTACCATTGTGATATACTTGTGAGGGTCCTAACAGGCGTTTCCCACTTGATGTTAACATGTCGGCATGAATGGTATGGTAGGGTTATGATTCCACATAGGCAATATAACTTTGATTGCTCATCTCTAGTGGTGCCACGCAGGCAATATCACTAAGCTATCCCCGGGTGGGCTTGTGCAGTCATGTAGCTGTTTTTGCACTTGCGATACCCATCTGTGTATAGATGATTGACGGGGTCATGACACCATGTAGGAAATATCACTTCTTCCAGGTCTGGGTCCTGCAGAACTTATTACAGATGAAATTCTATTTAGGACTCATCTGGCTCATCATGCGATGGACTTGTGCGAGTCTCTTGACGCTAGGCATATGGTTACTCATCGAGGGTATGCTTGTGTAGCCTAGGTAGCATGGAGATATTACTTCTGGATTCCTCGTACATGTGTGAGGTAACTATAAAAATGAACAATGAAGTTTCCATCAAATGTTACTTATCCCAAGGAAGGGAAAGGAAAACATCGAGTAAACCTGAGAGAAAACAAGGTCTTGTAACCAAGAGAAGGGTACAAGAGTCGATTGTGAAATGGGAAGGTATTAGCATCCCTCACGTTTGTGGTACTCTATAGGAGCCACTCTTGTTGTTATAATCAAAGGGTGTGTCTATCTAAACTTACAAGCTAAAGAAATGCATGAATGTAAAAGAAAAATACAGGGAAAACAAAGGTTTTAAATAGTTGTGCTCGCTTAGCCCTGCAACCCAATGCTTATGTATCCCTTTTAAGGAATTATAGCTTTGTAGTTCGGCTTAAAAAATTATGTTCATTTGTGTTTTTTAGGCGGATGGTGTTACATTTGTACTCTAGCAGTAGACATAGTGTCGCCCGACCTTTGGGGACTTATGTGTCGTATGCGCGAAGAGGAAATAAAACATACTTTTTATGAAAAGGTTTCCGAAGAAAAGCCCGAAGACAACCCGAAGGCAAAAGGTTTGAATTGGTTTAGTTTTTTTGTTGGGATAGTAGCCAATGAATCCCAATGGAGAGACATCAACTATTTCTCTGCTTATTTACAAAATAGTTTGTGAATTGAATCGTAATGAAGTCCAGAATGGGAGAAAAGCAAGGTTAGAAATGTACTGCCTCATTATTCTCCATAAGACTCAACTGCATACGATTCACATCTTTATTTATTAAATGTCTTGAAGTTTTTGATTAAGGAAGATTTTTAATTTTAAGGATGCAAAAGGGGAATGAAAAATCTAAGGGAAATTCTAATCCTAATGTTATCATACAATGGTGGTCCTAAAATTAGGATAATAAAGGGGGAAAAACTACCTAGTGTTATCATACAAAGATAGACTTAAGGGCAAGGGAAAAAAAATCCTAATGGAACATACAATGAGAGTGAAGTCGTTATCTCAATTCTAATTGAGTGACACATTGATCAAAAACAAATAAAGGAAAACAATAAAGTCATATAGGGAACATGCACTGAGAGAGAAAGAGGTAAAAGAGATCCAAGCGATATCTAACAGAGAAGGTCTGTTGCCTCTTCAAAACCATACAAGCGATAAAAAAACTATATAGAAGCTAATCCTCAAGCATTTCATATCACCAAAATCCGCATCAACATTTTATCACAAAGCTTGCAAATCCTGTGAACATTCGATGACACATAAAACCTATTTTTATGAAGTTTATGAGGCTTTTCATGATCACAAATAAAAGTAAACAATTAATCCAGAAATTAAATATCAGAACCCGCCATTCAATTGATCATCACACTAAAGAAATTGAATCAATTAGGAAGAATCAACAAGAACATGCTAAAATCCTAATTCTAAGCATATTCACACATCAATTCCAATAAATCCAAAACTAATAGAAAAATCGTTAAAAAATCTCGACAAGTCAGGAATCAACATATAATCATCCACAAAATATTCAAATAGAAAATTATGAAAAGAAATCACAAACAATTGCACAAATTAAAGAACAAAGATGAAAATTAAAGAAACAAGGAGGGTGTGAAATCATAATTAAAGAATGAGGGTTTAGAAACAAGACATGGGCGCTAGGCCCATCAACACAGTCCAACCATTATTTTTGTTTCACCAACATCAAAATGCCCAAAAAGATGCATATTGGACTCAATTTGAGGAGAGTTTTGGTCCACACAATTATCAATAATCCAAAAAATAAACAATAACAATAATGGATTAAATGATGCGTTAGAGAGGGATTAGGGTTCACCGTTTGTGACCTTTCAGCTTCTAACGATACTTTCTCTCTATTTGTTCCTCTTTTTCTCTTTTCTCTCTCTGCTAGATTCATTAGCGTCGTCTCTTTCCTTTCTCACCGTTTCTCATCCTTCACAACATTTCTACTTGCCTCTGTCTCGAGTCCAAGCGCCACCGCTCGACCGTCCCATTGTCTCACCTCTTCAAATCCTATTTGCAAACCGTCCTTTTGCTCCTCTACATCAGCGGTCTTGTTTCTGCCATGCTATACTGCATCATCATCTTCGTCCGCTTAATCTTACTCTCGATCTTCTCTTTTCTTCTCTCTGACCAATGTAATGAGCCTCAAGATTAGAGAGTTCTGAAAAAGTGAAGCAAGGGTGAAAACATTGATAGAACAATCTACCTGTCGGAGTTACTCCGAAAGTGTTTCGAATGCGATGACAGAAACCAGAAATCCAGATGAGAGGCTCAGGTATGCATGAATTCATATTTCTATTTCGTTCAATTCTTCTCTTCCTCCAAATATGTGTTCTGTTCGATGCAGTTGCAGTGTTATGCGATGAAGAATCTTGATGAAGATGTGATGATGATGCGAAGGTTAAAGGTTGTTACAAAAGCCTAAAGATGATTGAATGTGGAGTATGATGATGCTATGTTGAGAATGCAGATTTGTTGCAGAGATGAAAGAATTGAAATGCCTTGGAGCATTCTCTCTACAAATGCAGAGATGTAGCGCGAACGAGCAGAGAGAGTTTTTCTGTGATTTTGTAATTCTCCCCCAGATTGTGAAGAATCAATGATGAAGCAGAGAGAATATTGTAAAGAGATCTTCACAATTTTTCTGGTGAGGTTTATTTTGTTGAAGCTCTTTTCCTGATTGTGATTTTTCTGATAAATAATCATGAATGAATCTGAATCCCCCCTTTTCTGATTGAATCAGTTTTCAGTTATAGCCGCATAAAAGTTTGTTAGAGCAGGAACGTTCATGGCCTTTGGATCCGAGAATCAGTTAGCTAAATAGAAGGGGAGATCAAATATGATTTTGTTAGTTATCCCTGATTTTTCTCTTCTCACGGTTTATGCTTTTTCCTTTATTAAACTCACCGTTTTCCACTGATGCCGCAAGTTTCTGATTTAAAATTCTACACTGATTTAAAACATTCTGCTGTATCTGACTCTGATTTCTTTATTTCTCTAATTTCCTGTTTTGGACTTATTGAACAAGTAGTGCAAAGTTGGGGTAACCGTGTGCTAAATTGCTCCTGAATTTTTTAATTTTTTAATTTTTGTATTTTGTATTATTTTCCTGATTTTTTGTCTTATTGCAGTTCAGATTTTGATCGAAGTTTGCATTGTGAAGGTTTGAGCATATGATGCAGATGAAAGCAAAGGGAATCAGAGGTTGGTCGTGGCAAGGCTTAGAGAATTTGTCTTGGCAAAGCATGACTAGAAATGGAGATTAGGAAATGCTTATATTCTTTGTTATTTGGGAAAATATTCCATCCAAATGTCAATAATGGCATTAACTTTTGCTGATGTGGTGCTGATGTGGTAGGTGACGTAAAATTTAATTTTTGTGACCAATATAGCAACAGAAAATCAGACACTAATCTCCCATTATTGATTCTGTGTCAAATTCTTGAGCTAAAAATCGATTTTTTTTTTCTCAAAATCTCCCATTATTGAATGTGTCAAACTCAACACAAAACAAAAACTAATCAGCCACAACATTTGATACTATCGTCATCCATTATAGATTCCAAACCACGAAAACTAGAAGAAGCTTCCATGGCAGAGTTTAGAAGGATCTCACTGTTTTTGACTAGAAGAAGCTTCCATGGCAAAGTTTAGAAGGATCTCACTGTTTTTGACTAGAAGAAGCTTCCATGGCAAAGTTTAGAAGGATCTCACTGTTTTTGATTTATCTGATGCCTCATTCGAATTCAATGATGACTTTATCCAAATAAATTTCGAACGGTTCAAGTAATACATAAGATTTTTCTATTTTGTGAACATCCTTATCTATGTCCTAAAGCCCCATCAATTTCAGAAGATGTGCCTCTCAAGTACTAAATATTTCAGTAAGAACACGATGTGCACCGCCTCAATTAACGCTTGGATCCATTACACAACTGGAAGCCTCTTCTTCTCCATTGGTCCAAACAAATTCAAAGTGTTGCCGTCAGCTTATTGTCGCCCTTCACCGATTGCGTATGTCTTCTCTGATTTCGCTTCGTCTCCCTTAAACCCTCTTTTGATACCAGACATTTAATCGCAAAGAAAACCCCTTTTTTTGATACCAAAGAAAAACCCTTTTTTGATACCAGACATTTACAGTTTTTGTAACTATGGCTATTGTTGTTTTTATTGTTGTATTGTTGTATTGTGACTTTGGGAGTAATGTTTGTAAGGAGTAACTATGGCTAAGGATCCCGATGTGCTGTTGGAAGTTGCACGCAGAGTGGAGCCTTATTGTGATTACGTTGATATTAATCTTGGGTAATTTTTGTTTGCGTTTTGCATTGTGTTATTGTGATGAGTGGTTGATTATAACTAAATTTATTTCAATTTGTGGTTTTTGTTGCATTGAGTTATTGCATTTTGTTTAAGATGAATCTTGAACCCAAATTCACAAATAAAGCGATGACTCTTTCCGTCACTAAAGTTGGCCTAAACATGTGGCATTTCACATCACCACATTACGATGTCACTTGGACGTTTTTTTTTTACTTTGACTAACTGACTCAGACAGAAGGACTAACGTGCTCCATTTTTAAGACTTAAGGGATTGTTTTGCATTTTTTAAAAGATTAGGGACCAAACTGGACGCCGAGGCAAAGTTAAGGGATGAAAAAAAGTATTTTCCCTTGTTATTTTCATATAATCTCCTTTGTAAATGGTTTATGATGTAATGTGCTTGGAATGATGACAATGTAGTCTTTGAAATCGAAATTACGGTGAAATAGAATTCAGATAATGCTTGAATCAATCCCCCCCACCCCATCTTGGAATCAAAACCAAATTGCTCCAAGTATTCATTCTTATCTTTGCAATTATTCTTCCAACTTATACCTTGAGCAATCAATTTCCTGTGAGCTTAAACTCATGAAACCTATAGTATGCAAAGTACCCTTCGATTATAACTTGAACGAATTTTGGATTAAAAATTTGGATTAATATGCCTTATAATTAGAACTTGGATCCTTGAATTTGGAATCAAACTTTGTAAACTTGTGAATGCTAACCAAACGATGATTCCAAATCAACCTCAATTCTTGATAACATTACCAAATCAACTTGCAACTTCAATGAAATAAGAGCATAAGATGAAAGGCAATCACTTGAATCCATAACATGATCACATGAACATCTAAGTGGACTCTAGGTCATAAACTTGATCAATGGATGTCTTAAATAAAACCTAAACTCATCCTGGCCTCCTATGATGAATTAACCTCAAAACCAAATAAATGCCATGTTTGATGTTTAATGTGATCACTAAAACCAAAAGAACTAGGATTATGCCTATATGCACCTCAATCACTGTGGAACCCTGACATAATGGACCTCTGACTTTGTAAAATTGTTGACCTTTCCTTAATTAAGTCAAACTTCCACCAACTATCATTTGAAATGCCTTGAACCAACTTGCAAGGATTAGTGAGGCACACATGGATATCTCAAATCATATCTTGGACGATGAAGTTAAAATTGACCCGAAAGTCAACCTCAGGTTGTCTTGAACTACAACCATAAATAAGAATCAATTAAATGGAAGCTTGTGATCCAAATTTAACCAATAAAAATGATCTCCTAGGGATTTCCGAGAAGTTTGAATAGAGAGAAGACCTTGTGTCTTGAGAGAATGATCTTGATGACTGATATTTCAAACTTGTTATTTATTGATCATTGTATCCTTTTCTTGATAGGAGAAAATCCTAATTCTAACAATCTTAGTTGAAATATCCTGGTAAAACCCTAGGCACAATAGCTGAAAACCCTGATTATTTGACAAGTGTATGGAAATAAACCCTAATCCATGAATTTGGTGTGTAATACGGTGGGAGAACTAACTTGGTTTTGCGTTTTATCACAAATGATGCGGATATCAAGAGTCACCACTGACTTTTATTTTATCCAATAAGGAAAAGGTGAAAAGAATAGGAAAGACCTTGAAGATTTTGAGTTCGGGGGTGTGATACGGTGGCAGAACTGTCTGTTAATACTGGTTTGCATTTTTTGTTCGCAAATGTCACGGTAAGCAAGAGTCGCCACCGACTTTTATTTTATTCAATCAGGAAAAGGAACAAGAACAGAAAAAACCTTTTTCGAGATGTTTCTGAGTACGGGGGGTAGATTATAGAAAGGGAAGGTGTTAGCACCCTTTCTATCCGTGGTTTTCCACAGGCTCTTAGGTACTTGCTCATTTTGAAATTTCTTGTGTGTGCTTGTTTTTGAAAAAGTTTTGTTTTACTTCGTGTTAACCCTTGTTTCTGTCCTCAAGAGTGTTACGAAGTTGTTTTTGAAAACTTTGTTTGGAAAGTGTTGGTGTGAAAAAGTTTTTGTTTGTTTGAGCAAGTACCTAGGAACTAATCTACCTACTCGGGAAAAAAAGTTTGTTCGTTTTCCTTTTAGACAATGCTATCCCATTATTGAGAAATAGGTAGCATCGTCGTTGGAGTTTTTTTAGGGACATTCGAAGGGACAAATACGATCACAAAAGCAATGTTAGGAAATGTTAGTAATCATCCTAAAGCCTTAAAGATCTTTTTCCGAGGCAACATCCGAATGGGTCATTTTAGATCTTTCGGGGCTAGAGGACAACCACTAACAAACTCTATACTTCATGACCCTTTACCGAAGGCAACCGGAGTGGAGTAAACCCTAGGAGTGAGCATGTGCGAGTGTATGTTTTCAGTTAATTTATCTTTGCACATTTAGGGTTTTCTACTGTATTAATTTTCAGTTAGTCTTTCCATACAATTCTATTAACATTCATCTAAGCAGTTTATAGTTTACGGAAATAAAATGCGGGAAAGTTAAAGTTTTAGCTATTACAGGGCTTTTGCAGATACATAATTATTTTGGACTGAAAATATAAATGCGGAATTGAAAACCCTAATTACTATTACAAACTCTGAGCAGTTACAATAATAATAAAAAGGAAATTAAAAGCGCGCGGCGAATTAAATGCGAGAATAATTAGCAAAACCTAAAAAATCTAATTGAAAAATATTTAGGTTATTTTTTGAGAAAAATTAGATTATGTACAAAACTAAACCCTAATTCTAATTGTTTTTAATTATGAAAAGAATTAAATTGTCCTAATTTTAATTAAACTAATTAATTAAAGAAATATAATATTTTTATGAAAATAAATGATTTTTAATGTTTTTATGATTTTTTTGATTTTTTTGATTAAATAAGAAATGATTTTTTGTGTTATTTTTGTAAAAGAAGTAATTAATAAATAATTAAAAAAGAAATAAAGAAAAGAGAAAAAGAACTTGGGCCTGTGATGAAAGCTGAATGGGAGGTGTGACGCCTGAATTGCATTGAGCCCAAATCCTTTGGCCCAATCAGGCGTTTGGGTCTAGTGCTGGCCACGTTTGAGGGTTCACCATGGTCTGCATGTGTTGAGCGTTAGATCTGGATATGATGAGATCTTGTGGTATGGTGATGGAAGTGCATGAGGAGCGCGCAGGGTCCTGGAGCATTGGATTTGAAGACACAAATTAGTGAAAATTAACTTTGCAAAAGGGTTGGATCGAATCCACCCCGTTTTGGACTAAAGCCTTATCATGCCCTGCCTTGCCAACTGAACCAAGCGTGTTAATTGTTAACAAAATAATACAAAATAAATATAAGGCAAATATAGATCTATGGCCACATGTCAAAAACGCGCGCGTCGTGGGTTCCCAATGGTTTGAATGGACGAATCAGTGAGCACCACACCATCACCTTCTTTAGGGATCCGTCGTTTTAGATGGTGAACTTTTACCTACAGCATTTTTCTGTCACTATAGGTTGTAGTGACGGATTTTGTTAGTAACTAAAAACCTGCAAAATTCAAAAACGCAGCACAAGCAGAATAAATTCAAACCAAAGGCATGAATCAATTGCAAATCATCTCCTGAGCATGATAGTACCCCTAATTTTGTCCAATTTTGCCTTTATATAGAATTCCCAATTTGGGACCTCAAAACCCTAACAATGGCATCGTGCCATTCCTGCACTTAAACTTTAATCAAATCAATCAAAAACATTGCAAATATGATAGCAAGCATGGATATATGATCAAAACATGTTTATGATGGATAAGTCATTGAAAACGAACCTTGAAAAAAGATGCAAACCGTGGCACTGAGGCGTGATTTCTGAAGGTTTTAAGGCTTGAGGATGATTGGAATGGCTTCAGAAGATGTCCAGGAACGGATTGCTGGCCTTGGAATTGCTTGAAACGGCCTGTAGAATCGAAACCGACCTGCACTTTTTTGGCAAAAAATTGAGACTTATCCTCCTTCTTTCACGACCCCAATCCTCTTTTTTTTGCCTTGAGAATGTTATGTCCTTATATTGGAATGAATTAGGTCAATAAAAACTAATCATATCTTTGCAAATTATGGAGATTTGATTTCATTATTTGTCTTGTATGATTTGTTTCCAAAATAGACCAAATTAAGATCTTTTCCAATCAATTGGCTCTTGCACGAATTTTTTGATTTGCCAGTTGTCCATGGACTCATAATATGCTCATAAAATCAAATCTTTGATTTTATTTGATTATTCTACTATTTAAATTGATTTATTTTGCTTTAAATGGATAAAAAATCAAAATAAATAATAAAAATAATAAAATAATAGGTGGATAAGATCAGGGGTCTTGGGCCATATTAGGAGCAAGTTTCAAACAAGAAAACATGGGTCCATTTAGAAAAAAAGTCATTTTGATCAATGTTGACTTCATGCACATTTCCAAAAATTGGTCAACTTTGACAATATATATCTCCATCAAATTTAACCCTAGAGAGGTGTTCTTGGACTTTTTAGAAAGCTTAGGATGTCTCCTAAACAACCCTTTTGGTTTCATCTCAATTGAGTCTTCCATGTTCATGTAAGAAGCTTTAACCCAAAAGGTGTTTTTGTTGACTTTTCAAAAGGACCTATAATGTAGAAATTCATATCTTTTGATGAGTGCATATTTTTAACTTGTGGGATGAATTTGAATTGTAGGGAATTGCATCCTCTTCAAAATGAGCATTCGATGGAAAA